CTCACCCTCCCCTTGAGCCAGAAACAAAGCAATCGCCTCACTCCAATAGGAGGGCTGAGCCTGAGCCGACCTTCCTCCGGGCGCTCTACACACCCTAGCTACTGCTACCCATAGGTGTGGCAAACATGAAGGATTTATATGGCTGTGTTCCAATAAAACTGGATTTATATGGCTGTGTTCCAATAAAACTTTACTTATATACACTGCAAGTTGAATTGCAAATGATTTTCATCGCTTTTTTTTTTTTTTTTTTTTTACCACTGTGGTTGCTAGTTTGTTTTGGCGGCACCGGGGATTGGATTCACTGGCTCACACCTTCTAAGCCAGCACTTTACCATTTGAGCCACACCCTTCTAACTCTGAGGGGTTTGTTTTGGGGTTTTGTGTTGTGTTCTGTTGGTCTTCCTCACACACCAGTTAAAATAGAAAATTCAATCTTGGTTCATGAGGTATACAAAGACACAAGGACTCCCAAACCTAACTAACCAATTACTAAATGGGCAAGGGAACTAAAGAGAGACTTCTTAGAAGAGATGCAAATGGCAAAGAAACTCATGAGGAAATGTTCACCATCTCTGGTTGTAAAGGAAATGCAAATAAAGACAACCCTGAGATACCACCTTACCCCAGTCAGAATGGCCCACATCCTCAAGTCAGCCAACGACAAATGCTGGAGGGGATGCGGAGAAAGAGGAACCCTATTACACTGCTGGTGGGAATGTACACTTATACAACCACTTTGGAAAGCAGTCTGGAGGGTCCTCAGAAAGCTAAATATTGACCTCCCTTATGACCCAGTCATACCACTTCTAGGCATCCTGAGCAACAGGAACCAGTATACAAGGACACATGCACCTCCATGTTTATTGCAGCACTGTTCACAATAGCCAGGATATGGAAACAACCCAGATGTCCCACCACAGGTGAATGGATCCAAAAATTGTGGTATCTATACACAATGGAATATTATGCAGCCATTAGAAAGGACAAAACAATGACATATTCAGGGAAATGGATAGAGCTAGAAGAAATCATGTTGCACAAGGTAAGCCAAGAGCAAAGAGACAAACGGCACATGGTCTCCCGGATAAGTGCATGTTAAATCCAAAAACGTAAGGTGATAGGACAAAATTAACAGGACTTAAGAAACAAAGACTTCCACTCATCTGGTCGAATCACTAGTAAATAACCCCATGCTGCTGATCACATATATGGTATATATGTGCACTGGAGGGAAACTAGGAGGAGGACACAGAACTAGAGGGAATCAGGGGAAAACCTACACCAGCGGGACCCATCAGCTGCACTGGACATTGATCAAAATGAACTAAGCAACTCAATGGCAGTGATGGGAGGGAGGGAACGAGTGGGAAAGAGGGAACAGCTGATGCTGTGCAAAACAAAAGAAATGTACATACCACCCAATGTGGAAGAAATAACTATTGCAAAGCTCATAGAACTCATAAATGTTATAGACCACGATAGACAATTTGCCCCATGAAAGTTAGAATGTGTTTGTGACTTAAACTAAGCTTCACTATCCCACAATACTATAATCACTTAATCACAATAAAGAATTTGAAAAAAATCAATCAAACAAACAACAAAAAAAAAGATGCAAGGGTAAACAGGGCATCAGTGGGTCACGTCTGTAATCCTAACTACTCAGGAGGATGAGAGCCGAGAATCACGGTTCAAAGCCAGCCCGGGGAAGGAAAGTCGGTGAAACTCTTATCTCAAATTAACCACCAGAAAACCGGAAGTGGTGCTGTGGCTCAAGTGGTAGCTTGAGCTAGCTTTGAGCTGAAAGGACAGCACCCAGGCCCAGAGTTCAAGATCCATGACCACCACCACCAACAACAACAACAACAAAACAAAGACCCAAGGGTCCATGAGCACCTGGCTCATGGGCTATAGTTTGTTCATCTTTTGGCTTGAACTTTTTGCTCTTTTATTTTTGTATCTCAAATATTTTTTTCCCTTAGTACAGGAATAACATATTCATCGTAGAATAGTCAGAAGTAAGCCACCTGCAAGGAAAGTAAAATTAGAATCACTCATAATTTCAAAACACGGAGAGAAAATCGCTCCTTCTGAGAGGTATGTATTGTTGTCATTCTAACTTGCTAGCCAATTGTAAGTGACTGTCCACTGTGATATATGGTGATTTGCCACAGCAAATTGATTATGACACTAAAGATTAGCCTGGTGCCAGAGGCTCACGCCTGTAATCCTAGCTACCCAAGAAGTTCAGATCTGAGGATCCCAGTTCAAAGGCAGTCCAGTCAGGAAAGTCTGTGAGACTTTTTTTTTTTAATTTGTTGGTGGTGGGGCTTGAACTCTGGACCTGGGTACTGTCCCTCAGCTCTTCAGCTCAAGGCCAGTGCTTACCACTTTTCTAGTGTTTTGTTTTGTTTTTTTTTTAATTGGAGATAAGAGTCTCACAGACTTTCCTGCCCAGGCTGGCTTTGAACCGCGATCCTCAGATCTCAGCCTCCTGAGTAGCTAGGATTATAGGCATGAGCCACCGGCTCCCGGCGACTTTTTTTTTTTTTTTGGCCAGTCTTGGGGCTTGAACTCAGGGCCTGGGCACTGTCCCTGAGCTTCTTTTGCTCAAGGCTAGCACTCTACCACTTGAACCACAGCGCCACTTCTGGCTTTTTCTGTATATGTGGTACTGAAGAATCGAACCTAGGGCTGCATGCATCCTAGGCAAGCACTCTACCACTAAGCCACATTCCCAGCTCATGTGAGACTCTTATCTGCAATTAACCACCCAAAAAACTGTAAGTGAAACTGGGGCTCAAGTGATAGAGCACTAGCCTTGAGCAAAAAATTCTCAGGAACACAGCCCAGTCCCTGAGTTCAAGCCCCAAAATATACACACACACACACACACACACACACACACATTAATAAAGAATATTTAAAAGGGTAGCCTACTATTCCGGATATTATTATTATTATTATTGGCAGGATCACACTGTATTGTCCAGGCTGACCTTAAATCCTCCACCCCCAGCCTCTGCAGCCCACCACACCCCACCCTCTATCTCTGGACAGTCTTTTCTCATGAGTTCTTTGATCACATGCTCTCTTTGGGGCAGGTCTTCGGCAGTTTTAAGGAAAAATTGCTAGATTTACAGCACAGGCCTGCATAAAGTTCCTCAAGCAACGCGGTGAGCTTGACATACCAGAGAGATGAGTAAAGCCCTCTCCGTTTCTGCAGGATGGAGACACTGATTTCAGGTTGTCTGCTTCTATTTCTTTCTTTCGTTTTTTCTTCGATTCAGGCCTCACTGTTCAGCTCAGATTGTCCTCAAATTCAAAGTCCTCTAGCTTCAGCTCATAAATGCTGGGATTATAGATGTATGCGACTACACCCAGCCTGATAATAAATCATTATTGTTTCTTGGGGCTCCTACCGTCGCAAGTCACACTGGAAAGTAGTTATTTGGAGGTTTCAATTTTATTTTAATCTGACTGCTTACTTTCTGTTAATCTTAATCTCTTTATTTCTAAAGCTACAATCCTTCTTATCTAATCAGAGATTTGGCTACTGGGATTCCTAGATAGCGTGGAGGAGGGGCCCCAGTCAGGTGGTAGGAAACAGCTACCAGGGCGAGTTAGGGCTGACAGGGCAAAAATGAGCTGTGTTATTTTTGTTTTTATTTTGCTCTGCAATGGAATTCAGGTCCTTTTCATCCCCAGCCCACCAACCACCAAGCTTTTCTGGCCTCTGCAGTCATTTTCTTCGTTTATTGATTGATTAGTCTGGGCACTTGGGTTTGAACTCAGCACTCTTGTTTAGCTTTTCTTTTTTTTTTTTTTTTGGGTCCGGTCGTGGGGCCTGAACTCTGGGCCTGGGTGCTGTCCCTCAGCATTTCAGCTCACCACTTGAGCCACAGCACCACTTCCAGCTTTTTTCTTTTTGCTTATGTGGTGCTGAGGAATCGAACCCAGGGCCTCATGCATGCAAGGCAAGCACTCTACCACTGAGCTACCTTCCCAGCCCCTCTTGTTTAGCTTTTCAAACTCAATACTGGTGCTGCACCACTTGAGCCACACCTCGATCCCTGTGGTTTTTTGTTTGTTTGGTTTTTTTTGCTGGTTAATTGGAGATCCGAGTCTCACAGACTTTCCTGCACTAAGCTGGCTTTGAACCGTGATCTTCAGCTCTCAGCCTGTTGAGCAGCTAGGATCTCAGGCGTGAGCTGTTCCGATGCTTCTTGGGGTTTTGCACCCTCTTTCCCGTGCATCTTTAGAGGACTCCGGGGCTGTCAGACGTCCCCATGGTAGGCATCACTGGTTTTCCCACCCTCGGGGCACCTCGGGGCTCGCTGATGCCCAGAACAGGAGGCGCCAGGCCCCTGGTCTCCGTGCACCCTGGGAGGAGATGAGGAGGGGCAGGGCAGCCCCCTGCAAAAAGAAACCAAGGTCTGACTCCTAATCCAGTGCTCTGCGCAGGGCCCCGGCCTTGCACAAGGCCATTCGCGGTCAAGGAGCTGAAGGCCAGGCGGTGATGGCGGTGGGTGGCGAAGCCTGGCCCCGGGGGGCCCCCTGGCACTGGGGTACAGGCCGATGCCCCTTTCCCCCTTCTGGGTCCTACGGAGCCTTGGAGTCTGGGGTCCCCGAGACCAGCGGGAGAAGGGAAGAGGGGGGTACCAGGCTGGACAGCCACCCTCTGCCTTTAGGGATGAGGCGTCCCCCCCCCCCCGCCCCGCCTCCACCCGACTTAACCGGGGCTCCGGGTCGCTCCCCTTTCCCCTGCGGCCCTCGCAGCCCCTCCTCCGGGACCCCTCGGCGCATCCCGCGCGCCCAGGCCCGGACTCTGCCCCCGCCCCGCCCTCCTCCTCCCCTCCTCCTCCCCCCCCGGGGGCGGTGGCCCGTAGCGGACGTTCCCATTGGCTGAGACGCCAGCGAGAGCCAGCGCCGGCGACGCTGATTGGCCGAGGTGGGTGGGCGGAGCCTGGGAGTCCGGCGAGTCGCTGGGTGAAGCCGAGCAGACGCCAGGCGCAGCCCCAGCGAGCGCACGCAGGGCGCGGACCCCGCGAATCGGAGACCCGCGGATTGGAGCATCCCTCCCCCCCTACACCCCACCACACACACACCCGAACACCCCTGATCCGAGCCGGGGCCTGGAGGTAAGGGCGAGGCGCCGGGTCGCGTGCGTGCTGGAGGTTCCGAGGGGAGCCGTCATGGCTCCCCGCCCCCAGGAAGCAAAATAACGGGGCATCGTCTCCCCCAAACTGGGTCCCTCCATCCTACCAGGACGCCCATCTCCTCCCTCCCTTCCACCCTCCTCGTCCCTTCTAAGGGAGTCCTTTCTCGGAGACAGGATTCCCTCCCCCCAAATTGTCCCTGGGGATAGAAAAAGGCACCCCCCCCCCCAAAAAGTGGGGACCAGCTCCCCCCTTCCCCCCTCCCCCAGGTATCTAGAGCGCTCTGGTCTCTTTAGACTGTGATGCTTCCAAGAAGGGAAGTTGGAGCCTCTTGCATCTCTGCCCTCGGCTTCTGCAGAGTGATGGGGGTCTTCGGGCTCCTAGACAAGTGTCCTTTCCCTCCCCCACCCGTTGAAAATGGAGTCCGAGGCCCTCCCTCAAGCCAGGCTATCCCAGGGTGGACTGTGAGTCACAGGGGCCCCTCCACACACCCTCATCGCCCCTCAGAAACAGCCCTCCTGGAGGTAGATGCAGAGAGGAGGGTTGCCTGCCGTCTCCCCAGGAAAGAAAGCCCGGCCTGTCCCTTCTCTTCCTTCTGTGAAGAGGTGGGCACCAGGGTCCTTCACCCTAAGGGACAAAGCATCCGGGCCACCTCCATTTCTGCCCAAGTCTTCCCCTCAGCTCTAATTATTTCACTCAAATCTCACCTCCGGGGTCCGTCCCACCTGCCCTCCCATCCATCCATCCATCCATCCTTCCATCCTTACCTGCTGTAGCTCTCCTCCTGCCTTACTTACCTGGTAGTTCCACCTCACCCTCTCTGCACTAAGACAGGCCCAGACAAGGTTTAGTCAGATCAGAAGGTTTAGGGCTAAGGCCTGTATGACTGAGATCCTAGGCCTAGAGACCAGCAGCCTCCAAACCTTTGTTTGCTTGTTTGGTTGGTCGTGGGGCCTGAACTCGGGACCTGGGTGCTGTCCCTGAGCTCTTTTGCTCAAGGCAAGTGCTCTACTATTTTGAGCCACAGCACCACTTCTGGTTTTCTGGTGGAGATATAGTCTCACGGACTGCCTTGGCTGGCTTCAAACTGCGGCCCTCAAATCTCAGCCTCCTGAGTAGCTAGGATTATGGACGGGCGAGCACCAGGTGTGCCTGGCTTAGCCTCCAAACTCTGGAGCTCATAGATGGCCTCTGCCAGCCAGGCCAATGGGACCAGCAGGGAGCCCCCACCACTTTCCTCCACACATACAAAGGAATTTGTTCAGAATTATCCTGCCAGGGTACTTACTCTGCCCCCACCCCCACATCATTCTGGAGAAGAGGGTGTCAGTGCAGAGAGAAGAGTTGTTGGCCCATCTTCCAAGAGGCCTCTGTTGTTTACTCCCTGGGTCTTCACCCTCCCTCCGAACTCCTGTGCCCATTGCCAGTGAAATTCCCTGGACACCCAGCCAAGAGAGTGGGACCTTGCCGGGGCTTTCATGCCACTTTGATGAAACTGGACTGAAAGGCAGGATGCTCTGTCCTGACTCCCGTGGGCCGGTTTAGGGGACAAGAGAGAGAGACAGACAGACAGACAGACAGACAGAGACAGAAGAGAGAGAGGCCACAGAGGGGAATTTTGCTTCATTGTATTTAGAGCTGGCACCACAGCATGAAGCGTGCAGTACTGTGTTTCCTAAAGGCCAAAAGGGATCCAGCCATGGGGGGAATGGGGGACAAACGGTTCCGTCTACCACAGCCTCCAAGCCTGAAAGAGCTTCTAGATGGGAGACGCTTTGTCCAGGGAAGAAACTGAGGCATAAAGAAGGGAAGAGACCTGTTCAAGGTCACCCAGCCAGTGAGTGATAAAACTCACCCCGGCTCCTGTGGGTGCCTGTGACCCCCCCCCCCCCTTAACATTGACAGTGGACACTGCAAGGTGCCACGTCCCCACTTGTCAGAAGGAAGGGCTGGCTCTGGACATGAGGTATTTGGGGAGGGACAGAGCTGGAACCCAGTACCGTATCCCCCCCGCTCCCAGCCCCGCAGACCGACCCTTGGTGAACCCATTCCTGGGTGAACCCACGCAGTCCTCCAAAATCCACACTGACCGGGGCTCGCAGATGCTGTCGGTTGTAATTAGCTCGAGTGGAACACACTGCAGCTGTCAATGGCTCACCTGGTTCTAGGAACTTTGGACAGGCTCGGAGGAAGCCACATCCCCTTCCCTCCACCCTCGAACCATTCTCTCCCAGCCACTCCATCCCTTCCCCAGGCACTGAGTTCAGGAGTAAGCAGAAACTCTACTGGCTGCCAATGGGACCAGATCTCTATAAATGGGGCGGTGGGGGCGGGGGTTGCTGAGAGAGCAGCTCTTCCCGCTGTACCCCTGCCAAGCTCCCAAGCAGAGATGGCTGTACTGTTTTACCCTAGAGCTGAGAACAAAGCTCAAGTTCACATATTGGTCTCTCGGCCAGTTGGTGTGTGATCTTAGGGAGGTCCTTTCTTTAAATTATTTTTTAATGGCCGTAGGGATTAAATCCAGGACTATAGAGTTTGCTATGTTCTGTCATATACATCCAGCCTCTGTGTGTGTGTGTGTGTGTGTGTGTGTGTGTGTGTGTGTGTGTGTGTGTGTACCACAAGTTCACATGCTGGGGGCTTGAACTCAGAGCCTGGGCACTGTCCCAGAGCTTTTCTATTCAAGGCTAGCATTCTACCATGTGAGCCTCATCTCTACTTTCCCTTTTTTGTTTTTGATTTTGCCTGTGTTGACCTTGAACATCAAATCCTCCTGCCTCCACCTCCTCCATCACCAAGATTACAGGCAAGTGGCACCACTCCCAGCATGGGAAATCTCAACTTCTTTGTGACTTATCACACAGCTAATGAGTAAAAGCAATGATCACAATTTCTTTTTTTTTTTTTCTTTTTTCTTTTCTCGTTGTGGAGCTTGAACTCATAATTCACTTGTAAACATCATAAAACTCCTAAAACTGGTGGGGTTGGGACCGCTGTGCTGTGAGGTAGAATCTGGAAACTGTGGAGATGACAGTCCACCAGGGCAAAGGCAGTTGAACAGGCACAGGCGCCTGGAAACAGTGAGCCTTCCTGGACAGACAGAGCAGTGTTCAGCGTGAGCCACACACTCCAAAGTCAGGTGGAGAGTCATCCATTGGTCCACCTGCCCTTGGAGCCCTTCTTGGAGTCTCAGATCCTTAGCTTTACATGCCGTCTTCAGAGGGTGGGCCTCACCTAGGAGCTTGGTCCAGTCAGATTTTCTCCCCCTACATTGACACTACGTGTAGGGTCATTGGTTTTCAAGCTGATTTGGGGTATTGCAGGGTGTTTAACATCCTTGTTTTTTGGTCAGTTGTGGGGCTTGAACTCGGGATCTGGGTACTGTCTGTCCCTGAGCCTCTTTGTGCTCAAGGCTAGTGCTCTACCACTTGAGCCACAGTGCCACTTCCAGTTTGTGAGTGGTTAAAAGGAGATAAGAGTCTCACAGGGACTTTTCTGCCCAGACTGGCTTCAAACCGTGATCCTCAGACCTCAGCCTTCTGAGTAGCTAGGATTATAGGTGTGAGCCACCAGTGCCCAGCTATCATCCATCCTTCTTTCTCTCCACACAATAATGGCTATATACTCCCCTTTCAACTGATAGACAACATATACAGATGACTAAATATTCCCAGGGCAGGGACAAAAATCCTCCCCACTCTCCTTCCACAGTGAGAACTATTAGTCTAACATCTAACCTGGAAACATGATCAGCAATGCCTGGGCCCTTCCCGTCCACCAGCTCCTTGCTCTGATTTCTGCATGACAGGAAGTCTGCTCTGCCTCGTCCACTAGGAGTCAAAGAAATGCTCAGGCTCGAAACTATTCTAGAAGCTACTTCTTTCAGCCAGGCACTGGTGTTCATACCTGTAATCCTAACTACTCAGGAGGCTGAGGTCTGAGGACTGCAATTTGAAGCTAGCCTGGAGTAGAAAAGTCTGTGGGACTCTTATCTCCAACAAACCATCAAAAAGCCAGAAGTGGAGCTGAAGCTCAAATGGTAAAGTACCAGTCTGGAGCGAAAAAGCTAAAGCACAGTAGCCAGGTCCAAGTCTCAGTATCAGCATAAAATAAAAATGTTTGGAGCTGGGTGCCGGTGGCTCACTCCTGTAATCCTAGCTACTCAGGAGGCTGAGTTCTGAGGATCATGGTTCAAAGCCAGCCCGGGCAGGAAAATCAGTGAGACTCTTATCTCCAATAAACCACCCAGAAAACAGGAAGTGGCACTGTGGCTCAAGTGGTAGATCGCTCGCCTTGAACTGAAGAGCTGAGGGACAGCGCTCAGGCCCAGAGTTCAAGTCCCACGACCAGCAAATAAATAAATAAATGAAATGTTTGGGAGCTAGATAGTGATGGTGGAGGTGCAGATCTGTGTATACGTGGTCCCTGAGCTGTATAGTTTAAAACGGCTCAAACGCTCCGCGGTGTGTGATGCTTCTTTTCCCGCTATACAAAATACATGGATACATTCGGTCAACGCTCCTTGACGCTCATCGGCGCTCATGCCAGTGCTGTACCGTGCATTTGGGACGCAAGAGCAGATGGGGCACGCGGGTTCTGTGCTGCAAAGAATTACAGAAAGGGAGAAAGCCAGTCACAGTGACGCAGGGACAGTGGGGCAGAGGGGGAGGGGGCAGGGGAACTCGGAGGTTCAGCCGAGAAGTGATGTTCCCGGCTTGGGACAGCGAGGGGCAGGGAGAACCTTCGGTAGAAGATGAGTCCCAAAGGAGCTTTTGAAGGACACTGTGTCCTTGGAAGGCCCATCTTATTGGGCTGTCTGCTGGAAACTCCTGGCAGGCATGGTGGAGCAGGGGGCAGAGTACGGAACGGGCCATCGATCCAGCCTGCGGAGCTTTCCTGCAAGCTACACACACACACACACACACACACACACACACACACACACACACACCACCTGTCACTTCGGAGACTTTTGATCTCAG